GAAGATGTAGTAGAAACTTACAGAATCATAAAATGGCTTGGTTTGGAAGAGACCTTAAAGATTATCTGGTTTCAACCCACCTGCCATTGTAACAGTCCTCGGCCAGAAAAAGCTGAAATGGTTCATTAAGTTTATACAGGTTTTATTGAAGTCCCACAGAAGTCACTGGGTAGACTCCAGTCAGTTTCAGATCAGGCTTATGGTTCAAAGGGTTTTCCTCTGTGTAATCCACTAATATCCTCATCACTTAGCTACTGTGTTCTTTCATTCTTTTTTTAACGGGTGAAATGCTGACTCTTTCTTAAAATACTGTAAATTTCTGTCACTTGTTCAACAGCTTACTTAAACAAGGACAACCTCTGCAACTGTACAACTTGTGCAGAAATCTGGAGTGATTACACTCTTTTCTTGTAGAACTGCCATTTTAAGTGTTATGGCAGCTATTGAACACATTGAGAATATCTCAATTTAATTTATAAGTTCAGATAGTTTCTTATGTAAGTTATAATAAAAACTCTTTTGGAAAGATTTAATTGCTTATCAGAGCAATCATTAATCAGTCTGGAGACATTGAACTCAGTGGAATTCTCGGATGCCGCATCATAGCTGGAGTTCCTAGAAGCTGTGTAGAGCCGATCATCTTCTCTAGGGATTACAATCTTCTTATCCCATTTTCTAGCCAATGAACATTTACTTTTCAGTTAAATGGGGTTCAGTTACAAAATCAAGTGTCTGCCAGAAATCTTGCATGTGCCCTGGAGAGTTCAAGAACTGCTTCCAGTTAAAGCAAAATGCTCCTGATAAAAAGCAGGTTTAGAGGGAACTGTTTACTTTTCTGATTAGACCTGCTGGAATAATTTCTTTAAGGATATAATTCAGGGCAAATTTAGCAGTTTTTATAATTGTAAACTGTCCCACTTGTGAATGAAAATTTGCTGTTGTTTCTTTTTCGAATGTTCATGTTACTGTCCCTAGGAAGGTACAATCATAGAATGTCTTGAAAGGGACCTTTAAAGATCATCTAGTTCCAGCTCAGCTGTTTCTTATTTCCCCAACAAGCTGGCTGAGGGGACCCTCAGGATAGCAGCCTATCAGTGCTGGTGAATGAAGAGGATGGCCACTGGCTCACTGGCGGAATGTGCCTCCCTTCTCGTGTTTCCCTTCTTAATGAACCTGTTTAACTGACTTAAGTTCCCATGATACAAGTTGGTTCCTTTAACTTTTCTTTTTCCCAACTTCTTTGGCTTTTAGCTCTAAAATTATTTTTCATAGAATTGTAGAATTTCTCAGATTGGAAAGGACCTTAAAGATCATCAAGTTGAACCGCAACTTAACCATACTACCCTAACTATAACAACCCTCTGCTAAATCATGTCCCTGAGTACCACATCCAAATGTTTCTTAAACACATTCAGAGATGGTAACTGAACCACCTCATTGGGAAGCCTATCCCGGTGCTTAACAACCCTTTCTGTAAAGAACTTTTTCCTGATATCCAACCTAAACTTACCCTGGAACAACTTGAGGCCATTTCCCCTCATCCTGTCACCTGTCACCAGTGAGAAGAGACCAACCCCACTCTCGCTGTAAGCACCTTTCAAATATTGGAAGAGAGCAATAATGTCTCCCCTCAGCTTCCTTTCCCCCAGACTAAAACAGCCCCAGTTCCTTCAGTCTCTCCTCACAGGACACATTCTCCAAGCCCTTCACAAGCCTTGTTGCCCTTTTTTGGACCTACTTCAGCACCTCAATGTCCTTTCTGTACTGAGGTGCCCAAAACTAAACACAGTACTCAAAATGAGGCCTCATCAATATTGGGTAGAGGGGCAGGATTACTTCCCTAGTCCTGCTCACCACACCATTCCTGATTCCTTGGCCCTGTTCATAAATTCATACAGTTGAACTTGGCCCATTGATTAGTCATCTATCCAGGTCCTTCCGTAGTGCCTTTCTCCCCTCTGGCAGATCAACACTCCCTCCCGACCAATTTTGTTTTAACCTACATAATCGTCATCTCAATCCTTTAGCAAGGGTAACAAAATTGCCTTTTTAAAAGAAATTCCAACTGCCACTCTGAAACCCAAAGCAAGACTTCTCCAAATGTACGGAGAACATCACGGCAAAGATTTTGTATGTTCCCACCTGCTTACTCTTGTGGCAGATGGGATCAAACCTGCGCCATCTATTTTTAGTCGCAGGGGGGCTGCAGTGCCTGAAGTCTCTGCTGGATTAGCATGGCAGGGAAGAGCATATGTTCTTCCAGAACGTCCCAGCATGGGCTATGGGTTCACTCCACACTTGCTTTCAAATTCTTTCCCGCTATAAGCTTCTGTGTAGTGCAAATGACTAGTGAGTGTTACTGAGTTTTGGAAGGAGTTTAAGTCTAGTTGCATGTATTGAGAACCTGATATGAAAGCAGATGGAAACTTGGCCTTACATTTCAGCCCATGCACGTGCGTCAAGGATAATTTGCTTTAAAATCTATGATATTATTACAAACAACTGAAACTACGCTTACTACTGGCTTATTTTAAGGTCACCTGAAAGCTTGTTATACGTTGAAAACACCTTTTTTCATCTCTAGTTTTCATTTTCATTGACATTAAGTCAGTCCAGTCACAGTTTGTTCTGCTGGTAGGTAAAATCTGCAAAGAACTTTGAGACAAATATCCTGCATGTTGCCAATTTTTCCCTCTTGCAAAGCCTTTCATTGCCAGTGAGGTGAATTAGATACTTGAGTGCAGACTCAGCATTTAAAATTTCCTCCAAGCTCCAACATTGTGTATTTATAAGATCTGTAAATGTCTTTAACTACTTTGGTTGGATATACTTGAATCACTGTAAATGTCTAAGATTCTAAAGATTTGTCATCACACTTCAATTTGTAAACCTTTAAAATGCTCTAGAGAAAGTTAGCTTTATTTGTTTATATCTTTGCAGTTGACTGCTTTCTGTAATTTGTTTGTCTGTCATGAATTAGATAGAAAATGGAGGTGGAAATACAGCAACAGAAATAACTATGACAACAACAAAGAAAAAAACGTCCAGGGGAAAAAAAAATAAAAAAATAAAAAACAACCAAAACCCTCTGGTGTCTCTTTTGCAGAAAAACCCAGCGGGTAGCAGAAAAGGCTGAGAGAGCAAATTTCCATTTTACTTCCCCCCTGACTAATGTTCAGATAAGTTTGGATAAGCTCTGGATTATATTTCAAAACTCATTTTAACATGATATACCCAAGGATACCTTTTGCATTCTTAAATCTTCTCTGTAGCATTTGCCTAACAAGGCAGGGAATACATAAATTGATATAGATATATATCTGTCAAAGGTTGTTTCATGCAGAGATAAACTCAGTCTCTTTCTGGCACTTTATTTATTTTCCATTTTAGAATAAAGGTTAGAAAGACATTTGAAAGCAGTAGGGAACTAGTTCCATCAGCTGTCTTAGATTTCAGTAAGGAATTCCCCAAGTACTGTACAACTTCTACACATCCATCAAGTGCTGTTCATTATAATTATACTGTTAGAGCGAGATATCAGCTCTGATGAGAAGTAGTACCATGGAGAAAGCCGTTTATTCAGATGTTTTTATCAGATTCCAGTTGGTATTTTAGAAAGACTAGTTCAAAGCAACCTGGCTGCAACACTTGCCTGGAATTGCTTTGAAAAACATAGCTCCTTGAACATATTCTCTCTTTATACGTAGGTAAGGTTTTATTGTATGGCTTGAATGACCTGTTTGGGTTATATGCAATGGCTGAACAAAACAGCACAGTTGGTGTTTTACCAGCACATATCACTACCGCAGTGATACATGCTGGTACAGATTCTGCTATTGCTTTGAGTAAATGTGGTGGCAGATAGCACCATTGTTTCAGAGTTGAAAGACTAAGGTAATCAATTAAGCTTAGTGTTGAAGTGATGTTGGATTTCACCATTATTGCTGTATATGTAATATTTTAATATTTCCTCAACATTTCCCCCGTAAGTAGTGAGACCTAGCATAGGTCAAGAAATCTAACAAATATTGTTTCATTCCGCTATGAATACTGTATTTAAGTGACTTCTAGTTTGAATTTTCTTATGAATTTTGAATATTTTTTTTTAATAATCATTTCTAACTGTGTTATTATTAAGTGGACTCTTGTTATTTTGGAGTAGTGTAAGGCTGTGTCATGTCCTTTATAGGCTGTGCCACACTGAGTGAATGAAAACATTACTACTACTGCTATTGCGGGTTATGTATTGAATTTTGGAATATAGCCAAACTTGCCTCATGTTTGGCCCCTTGAATTCAATTGAATAAGGGAGACTTGAATTAAAGATTTTATGCTATCAGTAAATGGGCAAAAAACTCCAAAACTATTATACAGGTATGTTTTAGCCTATATTTAGAATATATCTAGTCTATTTTTGAGGATTCCTGTGCATTTAAAGATACTTTTTCAGTTGCATCTTTCCTTACTCACAGCTGTGTAATCCCATCAGTACAGAGCCAATGCAAGACCTTTGTATCACGTGCCACAGTATGTGAAGGTTCAGGAAAATTTGCTAGCACTTCAGTATCAGTTCTTGAAGTCAGCATAGATTCAAATGACATATAGCTAAATTTGGGCTTAAAAATTTTGAAATGAAAGGCTCTTGGAAACATGGAGCAGAGACAGCCACATGAAGATGGTCTGTCTGGGCTAGAACTGACTTGCACAAATATGCCCTTCTGCACCGAGGTGTGGACCTGATACAGAACATTTAGAGCATGTCTAAATCCTTATAGGAACTCAGATTTTTGTTTTATGTATGCATGTATGTATTTTATTTTTGAGGTGAGAATACAAACTTTCATATATATTTTCCTTAAAAAAATACGTACCCTAATGAGATCCAAGACTTTGAGTAAAAATACCAATTTCAGCCTTTAGCACCATTAGAAATCCAATGAATTTATTTAAATATGATATTTTTAAAGACATTTTAAAAGTTTGCTTTCTATTATTTGCAGGGAAATGTGACCTTTTCCTGCTCAGAACCACAAATTGTTCCCATCACCTTTGTCAACTCCAGTAGAAGCTACTTGTTACTGCCTGGAACTCCTCAAATTGATGGGTTGTCAGTCAGTTTTCAGTTTCGAACGTGGAATAAAGATGGCTTACTCCTGTCCACCGAATTGTCTGAAAATTCAGGATCTCTTTTGGTTTATCTCCATGGTGGGAGATTGACACTTCTTATTCAGAAAATGGCAGAAGACCCAGTGGAAATCAGTGAAGGTATTTTATTTTTGTTTTCTCTCACCTTTTCCTATTAAAACACCAGGAGCTTGACTCCATGGAAAGAAAGGGTAACAAAGTGAGGAAGTACTGTACATTCCTCTTTGTTTACAAATTGTTTCTCACTTTTCAGTGGTAGAACCATTCCGTAGATTGATATATATCTGAATATAGAAAGTTGGCATCCTGAGATCTTCAGGCTAATTGTGCTTGACAGTTATCTTAGTCGCTGTGTTTTCTAAGTCATGCTAAATCTTCTTCAGTCAGGTCACATGAAGACCTTAATGCTACTTGTCCTCATATTGTGCTGAAGTCAGCTGGGAGCCAGTTTGGCAGCGGTGCCTTTCAGCACAAGTTAACAGCTTCAGAGCTGATTTTCTTCCTCTTAACTGTTGCTTTGTATGAGAATACTACCCCTTTATGCTCCACTCAGAGAAGACTGACCATAGGCTTCCTCTCCTCCTCAGTCCACCTTAGCCAGTTTGCAAGATGTTTTGTGCAGCTGGAGAGATGCAAGTGGCTGAGATTGGGCTTATCTCTGGCTTAAAATTCAGGAGAAGTTACTTGTATACGCTAAACATGAAGTTGTGCTTTGGCTCCAAGAAACAACAAGAAAATTTCAGACTGAACACCAGCGTGGCCCAGCTGCCATCTGAGTTTGCCTTGTATATGTCCTACTGATGACCTGAGCAGAAATATTCTGTCCTAGGGCCTTACACATCCCATGCTGCTATGCACACACACTGAGTGGGAGACCCAGAAATTCATGACCACATAGAATACTTGGTTCCTAAATGTGGATGGATAATAGGCTGATGGAACTCAGAGGTCTGAAGAATAACATTATTTTCTAAAAGAATATCTGTTTAAAAATATGTAATGTTAAAATATTCCCAGCGCAGAATTAAAGAGGACAGTTGTGTCTATTAAAAGAAGTAAAGAGAAAATCTGAAGGAGCTGTCAAAGATGAGCTGTTCTGTATGTGCGTTTCATTCCCTTTTGTAAAAAGAAAATGAGGCAGCCGCGGATCTATTCTTATTCATGTGGATTGTTAAAACCTCAGCTTGCCACAACTGAATGTTGAAAATGGAGTTTCAAGTCTTTATTGCAGGTCCTAATGAGACTGTTGACAAAGCTGAGAGAGAATGCCAATATTTGGTTGTATTTGCTTTTATGTAGTTCTGAAATTATGAACCTGATCCCAGCCTTTGGTGCCATCCAAAACACTGCTAAACTGCCTACTTACACATGGAAATTATGCAAAAATTGCAAATACCACCTCCTACATATGTTGGATTCTCACAATAGACTCGTGCATGCTCAAGAGTGGACCTGGTTTTGACCCAAATGTAACCTGTGTTGTCATGACATCTTTTCAAATTTAACCACAATATTTCACTTCAAAATTGACTTGTTTTAGCTGAAAACTCATTCACATTTCTCTGGGAAATTGCTGTCTTATTGTATGAAAATTGTGTCTGCGTTAGCAGCCATTTCTCTGGAAATTGTCTCATTTCCAAATTCATAATGAAATGGCTTTTCATACATTTAACACCCGCAATTTTTTTATTTTGTTTTGAGCTGATCTCACACCTCTTTGTGTCACTAAGTGCTCGTTTGTTTCTTCTGAAAGCTACAATAACAAAAATTGTCCAATTAGAGAGGGGAGTAAATGCTAATTTCCTCAGCCTGGTCTCAGTGACTGCAGTTTGATGATAGCACATGTCGAAATGTGATTAGGTTACTTTTGATCTTCACTGCTGTATGTGAATTTATAACTTTGCTCACTGGTTTTCCTGGCTTTCGAGAAGATGATGTGGAGTTTCTTTTTAGCTTGATGATGCCATTTCAAGAACACTGATATACAACACTGATTTTCAGAATATGGAGAGAGGTTATTTCACACTGTGCATAAGTATGTAACAGGGAGAGAGATTGCTCAGTACCGTAGTCTCCCACTTCCCTTCGTAGGTTTCAGGACAGAGCAATAATCCAAGCTCTCAGAAAATCCGTGTAAAAATCCATAAAACATATAAGAGACTTTGGTACATGTTTCCAGTAAGACTGTGTGCTAACTTAGTGCTGAAAGATTTAAAGAAAAGGTTTTAAGAACAGATCCTACTGAAACATATTCGAGCTTGTCAGCTTTCGTGTAGTGACCAAGATAGGATATGACCTTCTCACTGAATCTAGTTTCAGTCACATGCTTATTCCCAAAAATGCAACAGAAATCTGTTCTGTATACTCCAATGAGCTATTAGCTTTTCCTAATATACTCAAAGTAGACCTAATCCCAAAAAACATTATGTGCTACCATAAATGTAAAGAGTCCTGCCATCTTGCTGAGTGCCTGCAGTATAACTAGCAGGTTGGATTAATAGGATCTGCTTACATGTTCTCAGAAACTTTCCCCTTCTTGGGTCTTTTCTCCTATGGCAATTTACTTCCAGAAGTAGAGTTTTTTCAAGCTACCAGTTCTGACCGTGTTGGATTCTGCTGTACTTTTATAGTCACAAGTTGGAAGCAGAGATTTGAAGTATACAGTTATATCCAGAGCTTCTATTATCGCCCTTCATATACATATTTTTTTCTAGGCACCAATCTCCATGATGGGCTTTGGCATTCACTTAGCATCAACGCTAGAAGACATCGCATTACCCTGACACTGGATAACAATGCTGCCACTGCTAACCATGCAACCACTGTCTCAAGAATTTACTCAGGCAACAGCTACTATTTTGGAGGTAGGTTGTTTCAGATGGACACGTGGCAGATTTTCATGATATAGATTTTTCAGATGCTGATCCCTGAAGTCTCCCAAGTATATTCTGCAGCCACATGCAAATTCTGCAATAACTGATTTTTGTCTACCTATTGTGTTGCATACAGTGTTGTGTGTGAGAAGATCAAAGATCTTGGTCAGGAGAGGAGGGGGGAGAGAAAGGGGGGGAAAAAAACTAACACAGCTGTAGAAGTGAACTTGCCAAGGAGTAGCTACACCTAGCTGGAAAAGCATTAAAATGCTACATAGCTGTGTTAGCCATGTTTGGCACAAAAAAACACTCAATATAATGAGCCTCTGAGCTCTTGCATTAGGAAATCCCAACAGGAAAAGATGATCATTCCAATATTTTTTTCTGCTGCTTTTTTTTTTTTTTTTTTTTTGTTTCCCCCACAGGGTGCCCTGACAACTTCACTGATTCCCAATGTTTAAATCCCATTACTGCTTTTCAAGGCTGTATGAGGCTCATCTTTATTGATAACCAGCCCAAGGACCTCATTTTAGTTCAGCAAGGCTTCCTGGGGAATTTTAGTGATTTACACATTGATCTGTGTGACATCAAAGACAGGTAATTATTGTTTTCTATTTCTTTTGTTTGTTCTTTTTTAGATCGGAAGAGCGTTGTTTTTTCCCATCCTAGTGTTTTATAAATACAGATCACATTAAGTAAAAATTCTAATCTGCCAACGTTACAGATATTAGGCAAAATAGAGCTGCTAATAGAAAATATCATGACAAAGATAGAAAGGACTGGAGGGGAAATGATTTCAATTACATGAGGCTCTCTCCACATTGACTTGTAGGAAATAGAGTATGCAAATCCAATAAAATGCAGATTGATAAAATGATTAAATTTTATGCATAAACAACGTTTGATTGCTTTGAGTTTTAGAGAGAAATGAAAGAGAAGGAAAAATTATTTGATTCATCAGAACATGCCATCTTAATTATAGTAGCTGTTTTTGTTTATGCATAACATCTATAGTTTTTCTTGTTAGCCATTATAGCACATTTATAATGAAGATATCATAGAATCATAGAACAATTTAAGTTGGAAGGGACTTTTAAGTTCATCTAGTTCCAATCTTCCTGCTATAGGCAGGGACAACTCCCTGTTAGACCGGTTTGCTGAAAGCCCCATCCAGCCTGGCCTTGAATGCTTCCAGGGAGAGGCATGCACAGCCTTGCTGGTCAACCTGTACCAGTGTCTCACCCCTCTCACAGTAAATAATTTCTTCCTTACATCTAGTCTAAATCTATCCTCTTTCAGTTTAAAACCATTTCCCCTTGTGCTGTTGCAACATACCCTTGTAAAAAGTCCCTCTCCATGTTTCCTGTAGGCCCTCTTCAGGTACTGGAAAGCTGCTATAAGGTCCCCCCAGAGCCTTTTCTTCTCTAGACTGAAGAGTCCCAATACTCGCAGCCTGCCTTTGTAGGGGTGGTACTCCAGCCCTCTGATCACCATTGTAGCCCACCTCTGGGTCTGCTCCAATACTTCAGTGTCCTTCTCATGTTAGGGGCCCCAGAACTGGCCACAGTACTCCACATGGGTGTCATGAGAGCAGAATAGCGGGGCAGAATCACCTCTCTTGACGTACTGGTCACACTTCTCTTGATGCAACCCCGGATGTGTGATTGGCCTTCTGGGCGGTGTCCCCACTTTACTGGCTCATGTTGAATATTTCATCAACTGACAATGATGGTACACCTCATTATGGCATACAGTCAATATGGTACAGCTCAGGTAGCATATCGAGCATTTGGTAGGAAAGTGTTATGATGAAATATCTGTATCTACCAAAGAAATATTTCATATTTGTTACATATTAATATGGATCACACATAAGTTGAAATCTGAGAGGAAGCCTAGCTTTTCTCACCAAATCTGTAAGCTTAACTCATCAAATCTGTAAGCTTAACTATGGCAAAATTCAGACAGATGCAAATTTCACTTAGTGTTCCTAGAATGGTAGACTGAATTTGCAAGACGCACTTGATTTAACATATAAAAGTATAGACTTCTCTAGGAATTAAGAGGAAAGAAAGAATTTTGCTTTTTTCTTGGAAGAACAGATTGTTTAAGATTAAATGGGCCATTTGATTTAAACTCATCTGTTGAAACAGAAGACTTCTGGTATGTGGCAGAGGTGTTTTGAGGCATCTTAACGCTTTCATTGTCACCAGGTCTGGACTGCAGTGTAAATCAATGGTGCTACTCTAGCTGTCTTCCATATCGTCAGTATCCTAAGCATGACAATCGTAAGTCTGTGATCATGCAATAAAACTACTTAAGGCAAAGATACACAAATAATAAGAAAAGTGGGTATTTATTTTACATAATAATTATCTGGAATATATTACACACACAAATAAAAACTATACATGGTCTAGTGAAGATATAAGTGGTGTCTTACAGTACAATTCTCTGGATAGGCTTAAGTTTATGTCTCCACTATATGATCTAGGTGAAAAAGAGAGAGCCAATTAAAAAAGAAAAAAGAGGGTTAGAGTCACAGTTGACAAAAGTGGTTCTTTTATAGCTGAATTCAGTATATCAGTGCAACTGCCATGAAGGGGGAGAAAGAAGCTTGCAGTGCAGGAAAGTACCATACTGAAATTCAGAAATTCTCCTGATAAATGAAAAGCATGAGCATTGCTAAAGCTTGTAGGGATTGCAGCTTTCACACTTAGTGAAACACCCAATGTGCTCTCCCTTCCTGAAATCTGTAATAATTATTCTGGAACAGTTTTGTGGGGAAGAAAGGAGGATTTTTTTTTTCTGAATTATGTTGCACATTTCACTAATCTGGGATAGGGTCCTGAGAGAGGCTAAAGTTACAAAATTGATTTCAAGAAGTTAGAAAAGTTGTTCTAAGACTCAGAGGGTGAAATACTGCTGGTGCAGAACTGAAGTCCTGAGTGGTCGTAGCAGCAGTAGTTGGGAAGAGGTACAAAATTAAAAGAAAATACAGAAAATAAACAAATCCTCTGTGCTATTTGTCAACACAGTTGATCCTAATTCAGTCCTAGATAGTTAATCCAGGAAAAGGCTGAAAGCAAAAATGTTCTTCTTACTAACCATTTTTAAATGTTCTAGGTTCTACAAGTCTGTATTATGGCCTAATTAGTTACAACAAATTATACGTTAAACATCTGGGAGAAGATTTGAATTCAGAATTCTGCCAAATTGGAAGTCTGCCTTGTTGTCCAGTCTAGCGTAGAATCATTGAATCATTAAGGTTGGAAAAGACTAGTAAGATTGCCTAATCCAATCATCAACTCATCCTTACCATGCCCACTGAAACACATCCTTCCATCACAACAGCTCTTGGTTTTTTGGAAAGTTGGGGTCTAACTCCAGGTGTGCAATACATGGCTGCTCGTTCCTATTATATAAGGAGTGTTAAAATTCTGTAAAAGCACTATCCACAAGAAATATAATCTTTCTTAATTGTAAGATTTATTGCTATGTGCACTGCAAAGCACATGTTTTTGTAATTTTAACGCGTGTGGGAATTATGTTTCCTAATTAACATGTAAATAGGATATTTGTCTTAGTTATCTGTGCAAAAAAAAGCTCTTTGAGGAATATGCTGCTATTTAGAAAGCAATTCGTTTGTTACAGAGTTGTAGGCCAAGCTCATTCAGACCTGGGCTCTGAAAGCAATGCTTAGGCAGCTCACTGCAACTTGTGCCGGCCCTTAAAAAGAAAATGAACAGGTTTATTTTGAAAGATGACAAGCTGGGACTACTGCTGATGCCAGCAGTATGTTTTTGAGAAAGTATCTAATTGTGTAAGCTTATTATGCACACACTGGGATTCCCAGAATAAAGCAACGAGCCTCCATTAATCTAAATGGAGCGATTTGAGGGACTAAAACTTAAAATCTCATCACTTCATCTCAAGTATTTGAACTATATGTGTGCTCAAGTGAACTTTGGGCGAATGCCTTCTGTCTTCCTCTGTTTGTTATTTCCATCCTTCGGTTGCTTTTTCTGGGAGATAAATACTGTGACACTAGCTGAGCTATCGAGGAATACACAGAAGAGATGGAGTTGTCCCTAGGAATATTCAGAGTTTGCCTTTCTTTCCATTGGTGTCTGAGTAGACAGTGCCTACTGAAAATGCTTTTGCAGACACAAGAGAATCTGCTGTCACTGATTCTGCTTTGCCAGAGACCTCCAGGATTGCCTTTCAGCCTCAGCCATCCTGTGAATGAAACCACCCAGTAGGCACTCTGGTCCTGACTGAATGGGCCAGAAGGTATATGGGAAAGCTGGAATTAGCAGATAATATGCAGAAAACTCACTTCTCTGCTTTCAGTGGGATGTTAAGACCTTGTCTGAACAGTCTGGAGTTCAGCACAGCAGTCAGTTTAGCCTTTCATCATCTTTCTGATGATCTGCTATCTCCTATTAAAAGACTGCCTGTTCCCAGCCCTAGCTGCAGTGTCAACACCACCTATGTTCATCCTATGACAGCTAAAGTTGTTTCTGATTTGCCGCCTTCTTGTTTGGTACCAACACATTGCCCTTAGTTGACACATCCTGTGCGAAGAGGGGCATCCCCAGTTGGTTCATATCAAAGCTGTGTCTGCTCTGCGAGCCCTTAAAAATAGTGTCATATTCCCTTTGCCTCCTTCAAGGCAAAGTTCTTGTTTCCCAACACCTTGTGTTGGGAAAGTAAAATCTGCAGAAGAAAGTAACATTTCTTATACTAGTGCACTTGTAAACCTCATGGCATGACTCCCTCTGCCTGTGTGCATTTAATCCATCTAGCAATGTTTTGTTTACAGTAGGTGTATTTGCTGTGGTTGTCCAAATACGCAGATTGCTCTGTGTTTTCTGAGGGTGTTGCAAAGTGTGGTGCTTATACTGCTCTTGTTATGAAGCATTAGATGTCATAGAGCTTTCAATGCATTTTTCCCCAGGTAAAGAAAAAATGAGAAAACGAGATAATATCCCACTAAGCTAGAGAAGCCTGTTTCATATTTAAAAGAAAGTGGATATGTTACATTTTATCTCTCTTTGTTGTTGCCTCTTCAGAATTTCTGCATGTTAGGAGTGCAGATATGCAGCAGGGTGTGTTTGCTTTACACTGAATTAATGAGTGAGAAAATACAGTGTCTTGCAGCATGGTACAGAGCAGAAAGTAACAAGGCAGAGGTGAAACATGAAGTGAAAGTGCCATGAAGTCCCCAGATTCAAAGACTTCTGAGGAGGGTAAGAGGTGTCTGGGTATCTATGGATTCTTTTGGAGCAGTATATGTCCAACACTGACCTTCTCTGACCAAAAGTCATCTAGTATAGGCCCAAACATATAAATGGAACTTCTCTTTGCAGATTTATTTTCAGTTTAGAATAAGATAGATAAAGTTCATGACTACAGGGACCATACAGCCCTCATTCTTGGGACTTAGCACTGTGTTTTTTGAGAAAGAGAGCATCTTCTGAAGTAATATATCCAACCAAAAAGTTTCCAGGGAAAAGTTTGACCAAGAGAAAGCTTAATGAGGACAGAATGATGCTTTCTGTCTTTAGTCTTTAATCTTTATCTGTTACAGTTTA